TCTTCAATAAATGTATTATTACCAATAAAGGCAGGGTTTGAAATGTCAATAATTTGTTCAATTGACAAATTATTATCGCTGATTTCTTCTGATTGCATGCTAGAAGGTTCAGAAAATAGGATTAAATGAATCTTTGTTTGATTGCTATTTAATGAATTCTAATTGACTAGAATTAACAGTTGATCTGTTTACACTATCCTTTAGGTCACATTCGGATAATTCTTTTCTATAAAAGGATAATTCTTCTTTAATGTTTGTATAACAGAAAGTTCAGATTTTTGCAATTGCTTCTAATCAAAATATATTAAATCTTGTTTTTCGATCCCCAAATAACCATTTAAGAGTTGAGAAATTTCTTTCACACACAGCTTGTGAAGGTGAATAGAAAATATTTTGATAGCAAGTTCTATTAGTGGATCTTTTTGAGCATCAATACTAAGCCACCACTTTAATGGTAATTCTTTTTCCTTTTTGAATGGCTGGATATAAGGTTTTTCCTTACGCTTATAAACACGAAGCTCTATTAGTAAATCTTCATATGATGCTTCATCATAACCCAGATCTTGCCACATATTGGCTGCAGTTTCACAAATTTTATGAAATTGGCTATGCCTTAACCCAGCACCTTATAAATAGAAAATATATTAGCATAATATATTAATTATTAAGATATTACAATAAAATATTATACATATACTTTGATATAATAGATACAAATAGTATGCAAGTTGGTATAATGGCGTTGCAAATTCTCTAAACCGGGAATTATAAATTTTTATAGCCTTAGGTTTAAACAAGTTTAAATCTGGAAGACGATTAATAGCTGCAGCGATTTTAATTAGTGCAATATAACAATAAGCAATTGTTGTATGTCGGCTTTCTAGTTGGCTAATCATATCTTTAACAGGTTTAATAATTGCTGATATAAATCAACAATGATTAAAAAATTCTATATCTTGAATTAAATCAAGTACTGTCTTGTTAGAAATTGCATTTGCATGGTTATTAATAGGCTAAAGTATAATAATAAAATAAAAATAAATAAAATTATTTAAAGTAATTATTTAATAATATTAAATAATAACTTACCGACCTGTGGGTCGATAGCATAGCGGTTATGCTCCCAGGTTGCAAATCAGATAGTTGCCGGTTCAATTCCTCCCAACGGCAGATTAATGAAAAATTCAAAAATGGAAGTGAAACACTGCAGAATACAGGGAACTCGGGATATCTATAGATAGACGTATTTGGGGAATAGTTATTTTGAGAAGTTGTGGCTGTGAAGTAAGGCATGTTAGAACCTTGATTTGGAATAACTGAAGTCATGAGACGTAATGTAAGACCAAGTCTGATAAAGATACTACAAGAACTCGTGGCGACACCGGATTGGCTAGTGAAAGTCCAGTTCAATAATAAGGTGGTCCGATCTCTCCGGAGAATAGTGCAGGCGGTCGGTTCTAGGTACCTGAATAGACAACCGGGTAGGGTCGGGCCTATTCCAAATATACTCATAATAGTAGAAATACTTGACTTGTAATCGCCCCCCTGTAGAGGGGTAGTTAGTAGGGATAGTTGGTCATGGCAAGACTTAGCCGAAGTATAAAAAAAAAATATATATATATATTAACTTACCCAATCAAAAACTGGTTGTGTATGAATTAAAGAATCAACAGTTGTAAATAGTGATCTCATTGGGTTTTACAGTAGGTTTTAAGTTTACCACTATTAATATTCATAGTCATTAATCCTTTTTTTAAAAGTTCATTAGCTACTGATAAACGGTGAAAAAAATTTACAACCAATCCACATTTTTTAATTAATTCTTTAATTTCTTCAGTATTAGATAAATCAAATGCAATTAAGTTGATTGCATGTGCACCACAACGTATATCAAGAATAAAATTAAATTGATTATTTACTAATCTTCTTGCACATCTTATATTTGAACCATGATCTGTAATAATAGCTGCGAATTTTTCTACACCAATTTCATTAAGAACACTATTAATTTCTATAGCAAGAAAATCACCAGTTTGTAAAACCATTGAGTAGTCTTTAATTTGAAATAAGTGTTCTTTATGGCTAGGTGTTGTAATAATATAATTGTAGAATGATGATCCTGTTGGTGCAGTCCATCCATCAAGTGCTACAAACATAAAAAATTATAAATTTTTATTTTTAATATATGAAAAGCATAATAAAAAATATAATTTATTAACTTAATGTTAGATTAGATTCAGATTCTAATTCATTGTCGATTGCTATTTCAACCTTAGCAACTTCTTCATTAAGAATATGTTCAAAAAGTATAGAATGGAAAGGTGGAGTATAACCATTATTTAAAGTTTTAAACATATCAATTATAAATGGATTATCTATAGTTTCAAAAGGAATTTCTGCACACACCCAACCCTTTAAAACAGATCTATCTATTTCTTATTGTCTGTCTTCTGAAATTACTTCTAAATTAGAATTATCTAACATCTTTGTTCTACGTTGTCTTTTTACAGACTTTTTCTTCACTGCTAAATTATTCTGCCAAATATCTTTAATTTCTTGTAAAACATTTGGACATTTACGAGCCAAATGATGCTTGAGTAGTTGTGGTTTTCCACATGCCCAATTACATGGGCAATGCTTGCAACTAGTCACATAATGACCATTTCCCAAATAGTTACCTATATTAACATATTCCCAAACCAGATCTGGTTTAGGACCACCACAACATTTTTTGGGTAAATTTGAGACAAAACCCTCTTCTTCAGACTGATTATTATAATTGTTACTTTGAATTGATTCATCATTTGATAATTGAGAATTAGAA